GTCCGGTACCTAACGACGCATGTGAATGGTGTCTGGGTGCAGGTGGAACTACTTCGAGCGCCGGGAGCAGTTGACGGAGGCGATGGAGGCCAACGAGGCGTTCAACAGGGCGCTCAGGACGTGGGCCCGCTGGGTTGACGGCAGTGTTGACCCCGCTAAGACCACCGTCTTCTTCAGGAGCGTCTCACCCGAGCACAAGCGGTGCGTACTCAGGGACCCACAACTCCTCTCCTCTCTTCTACTTCACATCTTCTACGTCCACCACATCACATCTGTAGAACACAAGAAGTGCCTTCTCTAGTTTAAAGGAGGCAAAAGGAACCCGAGTGCCTTGTCTTTTGACAACGAGAAGTACTAATTCTACGAAGCTTTTCCTTGCCTTTTTGCTCCACAGAATATTATCCATGCCCCTCAACTACTCCCTCAAATTCTCCATATGTTTTAGCTGTCTGTAGACTCAACGAAGCATATGTTCGATGCATGGCCTTACAATGGAGATGCATCCAAAGAGCAGAAGACGAGCCGTCGCCTCAACTGCAACTTTTCCACGTTCTCACATGCATCATCCGGTGCTCCGGAACCTTCGAGTTCCACAACCTAACTCATCGGATGCATGCAGGGAAAACCTACACTGGTGCTACAACGAGACCCATCCCATCACCCACCAGAGGTACGTGCAGTTGTTTCCGAGATCCATGGTGGAGTTGGTGGAGAGAACCATCAGGAAGATGAGGACGCCGGTGACGTATCTAAACATCACGCGGCTGTCGGAGTACCGGAGAGATGCGCACACAGCCGTCTACACTTCGAAGCAAGGGAAGCTGCTGACGGCGGGGCAGAGGCAGGAACCGGCAAGATATGCCGACTGCAGCCACTGGTGTCTTCCAGGATTACCTGATACTTGGAACGTGCTGCTGTTTGCTTCCTTCATCGGAACGCCCACCATCCCTTCATGAATCTTCTCATTGTACGTACGTTAATGTTCCTCTAAGACTGCAACCCATTCTTTTCTGAGGGTTATAAATCGGGAAAAAGTTCATGGAAACATTCGAGTAGAAACCTAACAGTATCATCAAATACCAAATGCCCATCGAAATTGAAGTTGGCCCAATGCGACGGGAGGAGGCCCATCAATCAAACTCTAAATGGCTACTGTTCCAAGTCAAACCCAGCTGTTACCGACCATGAGAAGAGCACAGCAGACCGATGGATGCTGCTCTTCTGCATGGATTTGGGGGTGATAAGATAGTGTGTTGTGGACCAGAAAAGAGACAGAAATGGGTTGAATTGTCTACAGATATCTTCCTTTCGATCCCCACGCCGTATTGACTCTCAGCCTGTACAGATAGTTGTGATCCCCTGGTCTCTGCCATCTGATGCTCACAGTCTCGGGTAAATCCATCTACACTAGAGATGGCAACTCCTGAGCTGCAGATAAGTTCCACTGCATGAAGAGCAGAGAGAGAGAGAGGGAGCAGAGCAGTAGCAAACAGAAGTAGGTGAGAGGATGTGCAGAGGACGGGCTATGAAACGAGAGCCAAGTCCATGTCCACCAACACTAACAGCCACCGTCCACCACCACCACCACCATCATCCCTCCCTCCCTTGCGTTGTGAATCCCCAAGCCTCGGCATGCGGGGCACGTGACCGACCTGAATCCTTCACGTGCTCCATGCGCTCTCCACATTTTAGAGCCCTGAGGGACTTCCTTCCACGTGATCACGTCGCGAATATTGAAGCAACCTTGGAACTCTCTCTCTCTCTCTCTCTGTCTTCTATATTTAGTGATTTATACTGACGATCGCGGTGGTGTTCGCCTCCTCTGCTCATATCTCTAAGGATTCATACGTCCGTACTGAGATGTGACATGCTGTGAACAATAGATTCCCTGCTGTGTGGGCTTCCTTGGGAGATGGGTTCATTTGTTTGGCTCTCGTCCTCGTCTGATGCCACTGGCTAAGACTTTGGATGGAATCGGCCCATGTAATCAAATTTGTTTGCATCTATCTTCTCTGTATATGTGTTGGTGTTTGTGGAACAGGGCTGTGAGCTCTAGCAGGTTTGCCATCACTTCTAGGTTTTAGTTTTGTTATCTTGGGGGGAAGATCTGTAGATACTTTGATGTAGAGGAAGATTTATTTTTTCTGGCTAGATGTAGCAGTGAATGGATGAAAGAGAAGAAAACAACAGATATGAAAGCTGAACATGCATGATAGAGGCCCTTAACTGCTCTAATGTACTGTAGCCACAGGAACTATCGGATTCATAAGGACTTCAATTGACTTGAAGTCCACTGATTGATGCCTTCCACCAGTCACACACCTCAGATGAAAGTGTAGCATTCTCATAGCTGGAATCCTTCTTCTCTTTGTACCTCTCTAAGCATGATTATGAATCTCTTCAAGAACATGTTGAACTGTAATCCTATTCTCTAACCATGTGATCTGAGGACCAGGAATTTTGGCTGTAGCTCTCAAAAAGAAAAGAAGTACTTCGACTTCAGATTGCTTGACATGGTGAACTTTGTGAGTCCCAAAAGTTCTGAAGCTGGCCATTTGGTTCACTGCATAGGAACTTACTTCCTAATTATTCTTTGTCGTAGAAGAATCAAAAGCTACTGTTCAATATTGCCTGCTTCAGATTCCTTTAGTGGTAGAGAAACCATTGGCCCTGCTTCTTGAGGCAACTCAGAAGCCAATGCAGTCGAACATGGTGCAGTGTGGTTGTAATGATCGAAGGGACTGTTCACATGGTTTCTGTGGCCATCTCAATGATGCATTGATGGGTACTTTCCTCATCCACGCCGGAGTACACAGATATCATGGTATCTTGTGGCCACTAATGGCCAAAATCTAAGTGATTCGAGTAATATATAGATCTGCTACATGGTCTTCCATATGTATAACCTCTGATCTCGAGCATCATCAGAGGAACTGAACTTGCAGTGTGGCTAAACGAAGAGGGAGGACGCATTAATGTTCTTCGTTGGAGGATGCACATTATTTTCTTCAATCATTCACCGGTGTCAGGGAATCTACAAGAAGCCATCACTTTAAGGATGAGAGGCCGGACAAGTTTGCAACCCTCGAGCTGAAGAGGATTAGAGGACCCTGTAGGACCACTCCAGCTTAAATCTCTTGCACGGTAAAGGCGAACGAATGGGCCTCGCTCTGCAGAAGGGTACCCTATGTCTTTAATTCGAGTGGGAAACTTGAAAGCTAGCGTAGTACCACTCTTCTTACACAGCTCCGACCACAGATCAGTGATGGCTATTTTGATGCTTCGGTATGATGTGCAGAATCGAACCTCTCACTGCAAGTTAGTGCGTACTGACCATAACTCGACCAAGATGCGATGAAGAAAGGTGATGGCTCATGGAAGCTCTCCTTCTTCTTCTTCTTCTTAAATGAGCGGCCGCTGTGTGTACTTGGTCTTCGCCAAAAAGTGGTCAGGTTTGCATCACCACGCTATGCATATAGTGTAATGAGAGATCAAGATTTCCACATCTACACTGGCGGGGGCAAATATGAACATAAGTTTTTGGCTGGAATGTACATGCAAGAGAGCTCATTCGAAAGAACAGCAAGTGTTCATGTTGAGAACAAGAGGGTTCACTGTCCAGATGCAGTCACTGTAATCATATGTCATGATCAGGCTAAGTTTGGAGGAATGATGAGTGATGGTAGCCTCGATCAGTAGAGCGAGAGAGAGAGAGAGAGAGCAATGGGCCATTCTTTTTCACCGAACGTGTTTGTCAGCTAAATGATTTGCTCGCCATGAATAAAACAATGAGCAGCGGTTGACAATTGTAGGAGAAGAACACCAAAACCAAGCACTGAGCGGCTCCCAGCACATCAAACCGAGCGCATGAATCCAATGAGACAGGGAAAGACGAGCCTTTCCTAGTGCCATAATTAACACGATTCTTCCACTAGGGGAGAGCTAATTAGCTTGCCATCTTCCTGCCCATCCGTTCCATTTGTACTTAGCTCCCCACCCCCTTCTGCATCAGAGTTCATATGCTCCACCAGGTGTCACATTCTTAGGTGGAACACTGCATGTTTCCGGGACGTATGAACACTTCATCATGATGACGGGCAACCTGTCGATCTGATTGCGTCAATTTTACTCTCTCGTCCAAATGATGTTGGTCTCGAGTTGGCTGACAAGACCATGGTCCATTCACTGCCCGAATTATCTAGTTTGCGTAAGGATGACATTTGTTCATTAACGACGACCAATTATGACCATAAATCTATGGTTAAGTGCGTCGAAATCGATCGCTTCTCTCTTCTTTTCCGGAGAGTGGAGCGGCGAAGTGCTTAGCTGGACGGGCGATGGGGCGCTTCGGGCTTCCTGAATGGGCCAGCTGGCACTCGGAACACCGCACATGGCCAGTTGCCTGTGTCCCCAAACCCGATCGAATTTCCCAAAACGCCCCTCTCCTCATCAGGATTCCCAAATCTCTTTCTCTCTCAACCACCACCATCGGTGTCTGTAATAAAAACAAATGTTACGCAACAGTCATAACGTAACGGTGGTTTGGACACCGACGCACGGGAATCAGAAATCTTGACTTTGGGAAAAGACAAGATAGAGCGAGAGAGAGAGAGAGAGAGGGGGGATTGTGGGGCCTCTGACTAAATGAGTGCGTACCACCGAGTCGTATAAGCAGAGGGGTAAACAAGAGAAAAAGTGTCGTGACACTGAAAATTTTGATCCTTTTAATTTTGTGTTTCTCCTCTCTTCGTCGTCTCCTCCTTTTCCTTCCTTTTCTCTCCCTTCTGCCTCTCCTTCTGTTCTCCCACCCTTTCCGTTTCCAACGCCACTCGCATTCAATCCTCCTATTCCCGAATCACGAGATCCCCCATCTCTTCTTCCTCCTCTTTTAATCTCTTGTGTCTCTGCAGGCATTGATCTATTAGAGACCGAGAAAGGGAGAGAAGGGGGGCTGGAGATCTGAGGCGGAGGGAACGAGGCCCCGATGTCACGTGCCGGCGAGATGGGCCGGCCGTACCAGAAGACCGGTTTGGACTCGGGAACACCCGGCGGGGTTGAGGCAGTCGCCGACCGGTTCAAGGCGGCGCTCACCTTCGAGGAGAACAAGCCTGACTTCCCCGACCTCGGCTCTCCCGTCTCCCCCCTTCGCCCCCACGCATCCACCCAAACCAGCAGCTGCTCCACTTCCTCCGGCTCTGCCACCAGCAAGTCCGTGTCGGCCACCGACGCTGCCGTACGGAAGCCCGGCGCGGGAGCGCCCGACCCCGGGAGGCGATGCCACTCCGGAGAGCTTGTTGGTGAGATCAGCCCGACCGCAGCGGAAGTTCGCGATCTGAAGGCCGCCGCCCACCGTCGATCGGGCTCGGGGCCGCTGATCTTCTCTGGCGGCAACGGTGGTGGTGGTGGTGGTGGTGGTGGTGGTGGTGGTGGTGGTGGTGGTAGTAGCACGGCCAGCTCTCCTGTCGCCAATGCACTTCCGGCCGGGAATATTTTCCCCTCGGGGAAGATCGGTAAGACGGCGATGATGCCAAGGACGACGCCGAGGAGTGACGTGCTCGGTTCCGGCACCGGGAACTACGGCCACGGAAGCATTATCCGGGGCGGGATGAGTGGTGGCGGCGCTGCCGTAAGTTCCGGCGGCGATGTCGGAATGGGAAATTTGACGGGTGCAAGCGCAGGGAGACTGGATCCGCAAGAAGTGACTCGGACTGGGAATATGCACTATAAGAAGGGACAGTACGGGGAGGCGCTGGCTTTCTATGATAAGGCGGTCGCGATGTGCCCAGAGAGTGCCGCATGCCGGAGTAATCGTGCGGCGGCGCTGATGGGGCTGAACAGGTTAGGAGAGGCGGTGAAGGAGTGCGAGGAGGCTGTCCGGTTGGATCCTACGAGCGGGCGGGCGCATCATCGGCTGGCATGCCTAAATCGACGGTGAGACCGACAAGTACCATCTATGTGTTCTAGTTTACTTGCTTGTTCTTGTCACTTTGGGAGTCCCTTCTCGTTCATGTTTTTGGTTGTTCTTTTCGTTCTGTTGTCCATAGTTTTGATCTTTATGCTCGGTAGATCTTCTATGTTTTATGTACATTTTGTTTTATGTTGATCCCTTTTTGTGGGTGATCTATTGCGTCATATTTTTGTAGTTGGATGGCATGTGATGACACTATGATCCATACTTCGCATGTTAAGGATTAGGGTTATATACATCTTCAAGTTGCCTTGTTTTTGCCAGTAGAGTATGCCTTTGATTGGAAAATTGTAATTTGGTAAATGCTGCAAACTTACTCTATCCATGGATATATTTGCTGCTCTTGATTTCACAGGATAAGATCAATGTTCTGACCAATTCACAGACTGTTTTACTGTGTCCGGCTGGCTGGCTGATCTGTGATTCTGCTCAAATAATGGTTGCTTGGGAGCCCTGTGGATGCTTTGCAAAGCACATTATTCCTTCTTAATCCAGCAATTTGCTGCCGGAGACAGAATTTTTTTTTTTGAAATACATTTCTTGCTTCAGTAATTTCTATAACCGCAATGTAATTCATAATTCTTAATTCAACTTGTTTATGGTTTTCCTTTATCTAATCCATTTCATATTGCAGGCTAGGGCTAGTTGGGGATGCACGGAAGCATCTTTTCTTGACTGGGCAGACACCCGATTCAGTGGAGTTGCAGAAGCTGCAAGCAGTGGAAAGACACTTGGCAAAATGTGGAGATGCGAGGAAGATAGGAGATTGGAAGAGCACATTAAGGGAAGCTGATGCTGCAATTGCTGCAGGAGCAGACTCTTCTCCGCTGGTAAATCCTGAATGTTTGATTGGATTTCTGTCGTGTGCAGATTTTCTTTATTCCAGTGAAAATGAATATATAATATACTTGTACTTTGATATTACAGCTTGTTGCATCCAGGGCAGAATCTCTTCTCCATCTCTGTCATCTTGATGAGGCTGATTCAGTTTTAACAAGATCACCCAAGTTTGAAGATTCATTCCCTTTTTCCACAGCTACCAAGATCTTTGGTATGCTTTCCTTTTCCTATTTCTACATTGTTAGAGCACAAGTTGATATGGCATTGGGGAGGTAAGCTGATAACTCCAAAGTTCTGAACAATAGCATATAATCAATTCTTGGGTGATGAGAATGAAAGTGGAACTCTTACAGGTTTGAGAATGCAGTCACAGCAGCCGAAAAGGCCAAGCAGATAGATACCAGGAACATAGAGGTGGCAATGGTCTTGAGCAATATAAGATCGGTGGCAAGTGCTCGAGCTCAAGGAAATGAGCTCTTTAAGTCAGGAAACTTTGCAGAGGCCTGCACAGCGTATGGGGAAGGACTAAAGCATGATCCTTCAAATCCAGTCCTTCTATGCAACAGAGCAGCTTGCCGTTCTAAGCTTGGGCAGTGGGTTAAATCTGTGGAGGACTGCAATGAAGCCCTTAGAATCCAACCCAGTTACACCAAGGCTCTTCTCAGACGAGCTGATTCGTATGCGAAGGTTGTCGCAGATCATCCAGCTTCTTTGACATTTAAATTAGGCTTAATTGACATTTAACATCATTTTTTATCACGTGGCATGGTAATTAGCTCGAGCGCTGGGCTGAATCTGTACGAGATTATGAAGTTCTGAGGAAGGAGCTTCCAGGTGACAACGAAGTGGCTGAGGCCTTATTCCATGCTCAGGTTGCACTAAAAGCATCCCGTGGCGAGGAGGTTTCGAATTTGAAGTTTGGAGGAGAGGTAGAGGAGGTTACTGGTGCAGAACAATTCCGAGCTGCTGTATCATTATCTGGTCAGTATGTATTTTGACTGGTTAAATTTCTGTGTTATCAGCCCTCTGTTCTTGTGCTCCACTTTTCTTTCCTAGATTGGATCTGCAGCTTGGATGTGGTACACCTGTGATCTTTAGTTTATTGGTAGACCACGATTCTTTGGTCGATACCTTTCCTGTTAATATGGTGTACTCAAATTTAATGCTCATCAGACATTCTTCAGGTCTCATGTGGTCGATATGACTATTTCACGTCATAACATCATCTAGCAACATAGATCTACCACTATACTTTTTCCACTGAGATTAAAGTTTCACTATTTCAGGCGCTTCTGTTGTCTACTTCATGACATCTTTGAACAAGCAGTGCACTCAGATAGCCCCTTTTGTCGATGCGCTCTGTACCCGGTACCCATCTGCGAACTTCCTCAAGGTAAATGGGTTGGTGATGCATTGCAATTTTGCTCTATCTGCACATCCTCTTTTCTTCTATTGTCTGATTTTGTTCTGTGCTTGTGCCAAAGGTTGACGTCGACCAGAGCCCTGTTATTGCAAAGGCAGAGAATGTTCGGATAGTCCCAACATTTAAGATCTACAAAAATGGAATAAGAGTGAAGGAGATGATCTGCCCCAGCCAGCAGGTGTTGGAGTACTCGGTGAGGCACTACAGTCTTTAAGATCAAACAAGTGGTTGCATTGATACTTACTGGCAAACCCATCCTTTGTTCATACAAATGTCAGCTGCCATCGAACCAGCAACTGAGCTACAAAATAATTGATTTGTGCCAAAGCATGAACTGGAGACCCCAATCCCATTTTTTCCCCATTTACTCTTTTAACCTTATTTTCCTCTGCTACCTAATATATTCTTTCCCTCCATTTGCGGCGCTTCAATATCACTAAATCCGTTTTCATCCCTTGCCTTTGTCAGCTCAGGTTGCTCTCGTCTTTCTTATCTCTTTAGAAAATTGATTGTACCATTTCTTTAGTTCAGAGGCTGGTTTGGATTTATGGCATGTATATATCCCATATAAAAAGTCATTGGAAGCCATGAAATTGGTGTCAACAGGAGGGGAAGGGGAGAGGAAAAAAAGAGAGAGAGAGAGAGAGAGAGAGATGTTCATGTTTTTTCTTTCATCGGACTGATACATGCTACCACCTCTGAATAAAAGAACTCTTCAAAATTATTTCTCACTTCATAGCAACACTATTTGATCACAGGGCAAAATTTGATTGGTTTTGCTTCGATCATAGTATGATCCCAATCCTTTTCTTCATCTGGCTTGTGCTTCCGTGTATCTACTGGTGATTGGAGCGACAAAGGGTTCTCCTTGGCTTTTCATGTTAAGAGTGTTCTGAGGGTAGAGAATCTCTTCATGGTCCCCAGATCTGATGGTGTAGGTCTGGTGATGGTGCACATCGGCGGTGGCCTGTTGTTGGTTGTTGGATGCATTCATTCCTTGAACAGAGACCGCCACCTCTGTTGCCTCTTTGAATTGGTTTTGACAGGTAGAACGTCGAAATCTTCTGATATCAGCGAGAGCCACACAAGTCAAGAATAAAGGACTAGGGGGTGTCCAAAGTAGGTCCTCAATGACAACCAAGTCTACCATTCTCCCTCAAGAGTCCAAAAGAAATATACGAGTATGAGGACCTTCAAACCTCCCAAACGTGGGCGAACAGATGGGATGAACCCTTTACATCATGTCTTTAGCAGTTGGTCAACAAAGGAGGTATCAAACTCATCTGCTATGGAAGCTAGCTTGGTGGGGAGGGAAGGAGGGAAGAACACCGGATTTGTCTTCACGCCCAGCAGCAGTTGCCTCTTCCCTGCTTGAGTTGGGTGTCGGCAGGCAGGTGATCCAACCCGTGACCATCGTTGGGGTGCCCCCCACAACCTCCGAAGACGGACCATTCCCGTGGCTTCATGCAGCGAGGCTTCTCCGTCATGAGCCTCCCTCTCATGCATGCATGTCTTCTCGTCGTCCTTCCCATGATTACTTGTTCCCCCTCCTTCCTCGATGGATCACCATGAATTGGGCCTATCCTGTAGCAAACACGACGCGACAATGCTCCACAGGAAGTATGCAAAGAGGTGGCTGGTGCCTACCACCCCGTGCACTAAATTCTCTGAGGCAATCAGAGAACTGTAGTTCACGAGGTGGAGAACATAATAGTTGGAGCTGATGGATCTTTTGCAAGCTGTAAAGAGAACTATCACCTCGTCATCGATTCCCGTGGAGTTCTTGAATGGATCCCAAGCTCCTGTTGGCTCGCCTATCCACAGTGCTGCCCTCTCTTTGCCATTCTAGCTATTAACGTGTAAAGTAACGTGGAGGTCTACAGTCTGGAAGTGGACTGCTTAGTTTACTTCTCGAGGACAATGATCCAAGCGATGAAGGTCAAAGGAACAGTGTTGTCCTCAGAGTTGCAGTAGGATGGCCCGCCCAAATGCTTGACACGAGAGACCATATGTTGCGAGCCAAGTCCAATATATATCTAATCTTATTCTTTATTCTTTTAATCTCATGCCATAATCAACATGTGGTTTAGAAAACATGCAATCTTGTTCATAGTAATTCCATCCGGTATAATGGTTACAACAAAGGACTCTCATCAAACGCCGAGGGGTACGTGCAGTGTGTCTCGTTCTTCATACACAGAAACAACCTTTCGTACGCCAAGGCCATCTTGGTGGCAACGAACATGGACTTGGCGAACTCCCTGCACGCCGTCCCCCTCTGCGCCAACACCTCCGACACCGCCTCCACATTCGGCGAGAACGTGTACCCCAACTCCTCGTCCACCAGTATCGTCCCCTTGATGCTCGGGAACCTCGTCGTCGCCACCGGCTTCCCGCACTGCATCGCCTCCATCAACGTCAAGTCCAGTCCCTGCGGCCTCAGCGTGGGGTTCAAGAACACGTCCAACGATTTGTAGAACGCCTTCGGCTTCGACGGCGGCACCGGCCCGAGCGCTACCACGTTGGCCCCGAGGTCGGCGTACCGCTGCGCCCTCGGCCCCGATCCTTCAACCACCAGATACACGTCCGGATGCCTCGGCACCAGCCTGGAGAAAGCTTCGAAGAGGAGGGGGTGGCCATTGTCCTTGACCAGCCTCCCCGCCACGCCCATGACCAAGGCCGCGCCGCCCCGCAGTCCGATCTCCTTCCGGAACGCGGCGCCGAGCCGGACATCGGGGGCGAACTTGTCCTCGTCGACGCCGTTGAGGATGACGTGGACTCGGCCTGATGGAATCTGGTAGACGTCGCGCAGCATCTCTCCGGTGCTGTCGCTGGCGGCGACGTGGTGGGCGTAGTCGTGGAAGAACCTGATCTCGTTCAACACCCTTTAGATGGACTCGGCCAGGCTACGGTTGAAGCCCGGGGACATGGGCTCGTCGGGGCCGCGAGCCTGGTCCTGGTAGATGCCGGAGTGCAGGACCTCCAAGGAGATACCGTGCCACGACACGGCCAAGTTGGGCACATCGCGCGCCCAGCGGTGTAACAGCGCCACGCTCTCCGAGTGGACCACGTCAAATGGGCCACCCCGCTCCGCCTCCCGCCTCGTACAGCTTCCACGCCTCGTGGCACCGCCAATTGGCGCCGGAGAGGAAGTGGAGTCGCGGGCGGCCTGTCTCCCTCCCTCCCTGCTCCGGTGGTCGCTCACTCGACGACAGGGCCGGGCGCGATGACTGTTGGGGATGGATGGGCAAACAGAATACTACGATACGAGTAAAGTATTTAAAACAAGAGGATAAACAGAATACTACGATACAAGTAAAAAGAATCCTTTCGATTCAAGAAAACTGATGTAGCATTTAAAACAGGAGGATTGACATAGAACACCTACAAGATATTCTCAAGTGTATTCTTGCTTCATCCGTAGTAACTAACTAAATAACAGTTGATGTTGCTGCTGCTACTGTAGGAGGTGATCGACCGGGAATGGAGGAGGATGATGGCTCCGGTAGAGAGGGTGAGGAAGTGTTAGTTTGGCAAGTCCTACATCAGGAAAATCAAGCTTGTTATCTCCTATTGCAACTATAAATAAGGGACTTAGCTTTGAAGCCAGATGCACCATAAGAAAAACCTAATTGTTTATTTTGGGTTTAATTTATATTAAGTTCATACTTATTTAAAATAGCTTGGGCTTTCCTTGTTTAATAGTTTCATGTGCTTTATAGCCAAGAAACATTTTACTAAAGAATTTGTAATTGTCCCATTTATAGTAGAGTTTTGCTCATCCTCCATCCGTGGATGTAGGTCAATTGATCAAACCACGTAAATCTGGTATCCTTATCTCTTTTATTTTTCTGTTTTATCATCTTTATTGGGTTGCCAAATTACCCTTTGGTAAATTTCCTAAGGCCAACTCTAGCAAACTGGTATCAGAGCCTGGTTTCGGGATCTTTTGGCAATGATGATAATAACAAAGATAAATGTCAAGAAATTTAATAGAAATATCAACTTTGGCAATAGATATGGATAAGAAGGCCCGATCAAGCATTATTCTAAATCTCTCTGATGAGGTTTTACGGGATGTAGCTATGGAGACTACGACTAAGAGCATGTGGGATAAGCTTAAAGCCTTGTATATGAAGAGGACAGTGGAGAATCGTCTCTACTTGAAGCAGAGTTTGTATATGCTTCGGATGACTAAAGGTACATCTATACTCTCATATCTTGATAAATTTGATTCCTTAGTTATGGGTTGGAGAATATAGATGCGAAAATTGATGACGAGGATAAGGCCCTATTACTTTTGTGTTCTCTTCCCCAATCCTTTAAATATTTTCGTGACATTATGATTGATGGAAAAGAAATAATTTCGTATCAGGAAATTAAATATGCACTAAATCTAAGGAGCAGATAGACAGGGATATCATTGGGGAAAGTAGAGGGAATCAGACTGAGGGTTTGGTTGTCAGGGGTAGAATGGATAAAAGGAAATTTGATAGTAGAAGATCTAAATCCAGACATAGAAATTTAGAGTACATATATTGTCATAAAATGGGGCACACTTAAATTAAAAAAATAAATTAAAGCAAAAGAAAAAATTATTGAGAAAACTACTTAGTCTGTTAAAGCTAGTGTAGCAGCTGATGAGAATGTTAGAAATATTTTATTTGCTACTGATGATAGGACGAGGTCTAAAAATGAATGTATTTTAGATTCGGGTTGTTCTTATCACATATGTCTCAATCTAGATTTGTTTTTCACATATGAATCTTATAATGGTGGAACTGTTTTGATGGGCAATAATGTCGCGTGTGATGTTGTTGATAGAGACATAATCCGAATTAAAATGCATTATGGTATTGTGAGGACGCTCACTAATGTTAGATATGTTCCTAATTTAAAAAAGAATCTTATCTCTTTAGGCACCCTAGAGACTCTTGGGTGTAAATACGCAGTTGAATGTGGAGTTATGAAAGTTTCTAAAAGTGCCTTTATTGTTATGAAAGCTTGTAGGTCTAGTAGCTTGTATATTTTGTAGGGAACTACTGTCACAGGCTCGGTTGCAGTATCGTCATCATCATTATCTGATTCTGACATCACCAAATTATGACATATGCATTTGGGTCATATGAGCGAAAAATGTTTGAGCATATTGAGCAAAAGGGGTCTTCTTTGCGGACAGAGTACTTGGCCACTGGATTTTTGTGAACACTGCATTTTTGGAAAGTAGAAAAGAGTTAACTTCAATTCTCCGATAGTTCACAAAACGAAAGGTACTATTGACTACATTCATTCAGACCTTTGGGGTCCAACTCGTATTTAGTCTAAGGGTGGTGCCAGGTATATGTTGACTTTCATTGATGATTATTCCAGAAAAAATTTGGTTTATTTTTTGAAGCATAAAATGATATTTTTTTAAACCTTTAAACAATGGAAGGCTTAGATTGAGAAGCAAACAGGTAAATAAATTAAGCGGCTCCGAACAAATAATGGCATGGAATTTTGTGAAGGTGACTTTGATGAATTCTGTAAAAATGGAGAAATTATTCGGCATCGCACTATTAGGATGAAGCCTCAGCAAAATGGTGTAGCTAAACGTATGAACAGAACACTCTTGGAGAAAGCAAGGTGTATGATCTCAAATGTAAGGTTGACAAAGGACTTTTGGGCAGAAGCAATTAATATGGCTTGTTACGTTATCAACCACGCTCCTTCTACAGCACTTAATTTTAAAACTCC